CCGGCCCGCCGCCACCGAGATGCCTCTTGCTCCCCAGGCACCTCTGCAGCCCGGGGCAGGTGGCTGGAAGCTCCAGACTCAGCTTAGGGTATCCTGGATGACCTCAGTCCCCACAGGGAGGAAGTTTAGAAGCGTTGCATTTTTTTTTTCTTTTTAAAAACTGTCGTATGCCTGTGCTTGCTAAAGAGAGACAGAGTTTACGCCAATCCTCCTCCAATTTGCCATCGTGTTGGAATTTTGAGCAGTCTCAATGCCCCGGATGCTTGTGTCTTTCCTTTTCTTTTCTTAATTTTTTTTATTTTTTGGAGAGGTTTTCGCTATAGGGCGTGTGCGCTCACCAGATAGACAGAGAGACAGAAAGCGAGAAATCACCCCCCCAGGGGGAATGGTCACAACGCAGTCCTTCTTCATTCTCCTCTCCCGATCTTGGGCACGCACGCACACGCGCCCAGCGTGAGTTTTAAGCCACCGGGTCCGGGTCGTGAACCGCGGTCAACTGTGTGGGAGTCCATCGACATAGCCATTACTCTGACTGGTGGTTCTCTTTCCTTTTCTTTTTAAAAATTTTGCTAGAGGGTCTGTGGGCTGGGCTAAGAGAAGGTGAGAAAGCAGCTCCTATGGGGGATGATCACTAGCAATCCCCACTCCCTTCTTCCAGGATTTTGGTCATGCACCTACACTGGCCCTGAGTGTTTCTCCAGCTACTGTGTCCCAGACTCGAACCACTCAGTCTGTCATGTAGGATCCCACCACCTTCACCGCCACTCCATAGACTGTTCCCACTAAGGTAGGTCAGCCATATGGAATCCAGTTCCCCTAACCCTAGGCTAGTTACAGAGCTAACAGAGATGCAAGAGAAGAGAGACAACTAACTGCAAAAAATGCAGGAGAGGGACCAGCAGTTTGTGTAATGGCTATGTCACTGGATTCTCACTGTGGTTGGAGTCCTGGGCCCAGGGCTTAGATTTACGCCGGGCGCATGTGTGTGCACACCCAGGATTCCAAGAGGAGAATGGAAAATTAGGGATTGCTGCGTGACCATAGTGCCTAAGGGGGTGATTTCTCACTGTCTGTCTCTCAATCTCTCTGCTCTTTTTTTTTCTTTTTTTGGAGAGGTTTTTTGCTTTAGGGTGCGTGCCCTCTCCAGAAAGACAGAGAGAGACAGAGAGACAGAAAGTGAGAAATTGTTAACGGATGGGAGAGTGTTGAGCTGCGTTGTGAAGTCCTTGGTTCTTTGGGTCCAGATCACTAAAATTAGAGATCTGTCCCTAGGCTCAAAATGAAACCGCAACCACGAATAAAGTAGGTAGAAAAGAAGGTTTAATAGAAAGAAAGGAAAGGGGGACCAGCAGTTAGCATAATGGCTATGTCACTGGACTCCCACGTAGTTGACTGCGGTTCAAGTCCTGGACCCGGCGGCTTAAACTAACGCCGGGCGCGTGTGCATGTGTGCCCAAGATCCCAAGAGAAGAATGGAGTTGAAGGGATTGCGGTGTGGCCATCCCCCCTGGGGGGTTATGGCCACACCGCCGTCCCTTCTCCTCCACTTTTCTCTTCCTCTTGGGATCTTGGGCTCATACGCACACGTGCCCGGCGTGAGTTTAAGCCACCGGGTCCGGGACTCGAACCTTGGTCGACTACATGGGAGTCCAGCAAGATAGCCATTATGCTAACTACTGGTCCCTCTTTCTGTTTTTCTGTCGAGTGCATGTGCCCTATAGCAAAAAATCTCTCCCCTCCCCCCCAAAAAAGAGTATGTAGGAGAAAAGAGACAATGAGTTCCAGGAGGTGAGGAAGTTTTTCCATGATCTAAAAGAGGAAATACACACCATAAAAAAAGGGTTAAACAGAACTGTTAGAGGTCAAGGCTATAATACAGGAAATCAAAGCCTCCCTTGAAAGTATTAAAAGTAGATTAGATCATGCAGAAGATCGAATCTCAGATGTAGAAGACGGAACCTATGACTTAGAAAAATTCACCAAAAAGACTGAGAAAATAACCTAAAAAATGAGAATAATATACGAGTGATACTAGATACCATTAGACACCCAAACATCCAGGTAATCAGTATCCCAGAGGATGAAGAAACTAATCAGGGCATTGAGAATCTAATCCATGAAATCCTAGAAGAAAACTTTCCAAACCTAGAGAGGCATTCAAATATTCAGACCCAAGAAATACAAAAGACCCCACATAGAAGCAACCCAAGATCTCCAAGGCACATCATAGCCAGATTGACCAAAACCACAGCCAGAGACAAGAGAAAAATTGGCAAGAGAAAAACATCACGTTACTTTCAAAGGATATCCTATCAGGCTAACATCAGACCTCTCATCAGAAACAATGCAACCAAGGAGAAGAAGCCGGGCCTTCAGCAGAAGGTTCCACATGGCGCCAGCGAACTAGATTTTTCAGGGAATGAAGATTTTCTACTGATAATTCAGCCTCCAACAAATGAGCTAGCGGTAGGGAGCCCCCCACCCCGCACCCCCAGCCTTCTATCTCTCTTTCTGTGTCTCAGTTCCTGTCTCTCCCTGCTTCTGTCTCCCCCTTTTTTGGTAATTTTTCATTTTTACACTTTTTTTAAAAGGCAGTTTTTCTCTGGCTCTTGGCTCCACCTCTTATCTTGTTAATTATCGCTCTGGTCCTCCCTCCCAGGCAGAAGAAGCCGGGCTTTCAGCAGAAGGTTCCACATGGCGCCAGTGAACTAGATTTTTCGTGTGGCGCACTTGTGTGCTGCGCGGTTTTCTATTTTGTGATTTTTTTTTTTAAATAAAAAGAACAGTAATTACAATTTTAAAATTTTTTTTCTTTTTTTCTCTTTTTGTTGTTGTTTCTCTCTCCCTTTTTCATTTTCCTTTTTCTTATCTGTCCACCCTCCAGTATTCACTCAATGTGTTCTTAGACGGATCTAAGAGCACTGTAGCTAGACATCCAAATACTAATAGGGTTAAAATATTCCCCAATATCTACTGTATCTGCTGTACCAGTGATCATAACAGAACGGCACAGAGATTCTAGATCACCTCTGCTTGCTTCTGAACATTTAGACCGAACTTCAAGAATTTGAAAGAAACACACCATCCATCAGATGACAAGAAATCACCGTCAGATCACGAGAAATATGGGAAAATGAGAAAATACCTCTCCTCCAAGGGAAAAGAGTAACTCTTCTTCATCCACAAGCAGTTCAGTGAAAATCATGGAAATGTCTGATAAGGAACTTAGAGCATTCGTAATGTCGAAGCTAACAGAGATGGAAGAGAAGAGAGATAATGAACT